TTGAGCTTTCTCGTTTTCCAGTGCCTAACAGCCATAGTTACCAAAACTTTTACTCAAGCATTGAAGTTACAATGTGAGAAATTTAAATGAATGGACTCGAGGGTCGGGGTCGGACATCGCATCAAATCTCCTCAAACTCGGTGGTGGTGGTGGTGGTGGCGGTGGCGGAGTGTTTATTTCACTGTCTCTAAGCCACACCAACTGTTAGTCTTACGGTTGTACTATTCGCCATGAAATACGTTTTCACATGAGGAAATGAAGGAGATGGTTTGTGCTTTAGCATCTTGTTCGGAATTACTCGGAAGTGGTGGTCAATGTTTCGTTCAACACTCGAAAAGCAGTCAGAATTTGAAGAACATGAAAATTAGGCAAAAACTCTCTGCTCAAATAGCCAGATAATGTTTATTCATGAATCTGTAAGATTATCTGTTCTAGGGATATTCATTTCCTATTTTGCTACCTTAACTAATTCTTATCTTGTTCCCCAATGTAAACATCGAGTTCTCCAATTCCGTTTTGGTTTAGATGAGATAATTTGGATGCATTCCAGTGCAACTTAGACGTAATGGCAGATAAAACAGTGAATACGTAATTGATTCGCCATATTTCTTTAGCAGTTAATTCTTCGGTAATTGCCTATATTGTATCGTGAAGGGAACCTTTAGAGTAAAAAGAGTCAATAATTAAATTAAAAAAACCAAGCCCTTTGTATTAAAACATTCAGTTCCAGTACTTCACAATTTTTTTAGATAACTTCACCAAAATAGTCAACGTCCACAACGGTTCGGTTTGTGCCTAACTGAAAGTGAAAAGACCTTACTACTTAATTTATGCCCATCTTAATTAATTTTAAGTGTCATTTTCTGGTTTGAATCAGTGCGCTTATCGACGTGATTTCACTTTAATAAAATAGACAAAGGTGACTTGTGAAGCCACATAATTCAATTGATGACTTTCGTCTTATTTTCCTTTGCAATAAATTGTTGTGCAATGGTCCTTGATCTCATCCACTGCTATCTCTATAGTTCCCGATATCAGCGAAAACTGTGGCAATGATATGGAAGAAGCCGATTTACATTGATTACAGCGTTTATTGATTTGTTTATTCACACCACACAAGATTCGTATATGAAGTTAATTGAAGTAACTTGAACGAACATGGATATTCGTTAATCTGAGTACCCTTGTGCTCTCACGACCACACCCTTCAGAGTGCACGGGTGCACAGTTCAATGTTGTTAGGTTTGAGTACTCCGTACACTTCGAATTTTTGAGTATAAAATAGTTCATACATATATATGGTATATATAGATGGTATATAAAAAGATTGTATATTATACACACATTTCTTTTCACTCTCAAGAATTATTTAATTCGCGGCTATTTTTCTTGCATTTTTTACTATTTTAACCGAATAAAGACATCTTGTTGTTTTGTTTGAATGTGGGTCATTAAGTATTAGAGTTTAAGTAATATTTGTATCAAATGTCCGGCTTTATGATATTTATCATTAATCCTTTAGTTAACTTTGTGCCTGGCTGAAAAAAGAACATCAAATTGATTCACGGATGTAATGGAGACAGACATGAAGATAGAGACAAGGGTAAGGTAGGGTGAGTACTGTGGAAATGGTCGAATATAACATACAGTGGGTCAAGGGAGTTTGAAGTCAGAAGTCAACTGTCAGTTTATGGACATTTTTGTCGTCCGAGTTTTCATTACCCAGGGGGCACCACATCGAGGTAAGTCCATCTCTTACCCAGAAATACGGGGCTGATTTATCACACTAAAGCATTATCATTCACAACAAATATTCAATTCAAGTTAACTTCTCTCTGTTATAAAATTTGCATATAGAAAGAACACCATTTATATTTTTTGTTATAATTTGGCTTATGAAGTATTATAAAATTTGATTGAATATGAACTGATTAAAATCTTGAAAAATTCTTATAACTTGTGGGACACATTATCGCTCTGTGCGTCATCGTATGCCTGCATGTCTGCTCGCTAGGATTGAGAGGTGCGGCCGTACAGCTCTGTGTGCAGCGACCGTACTAACAGTGACCAATCATCAACCTCTGTTTAACCTAATCCCCCATCCTGATCATGAGTAGCTCCCTGCGTGAACACACTTGATCCGCAATATACGTCCTGAACAAACGTGCTCCGTACTACACGTCTGTTTCCTTTATAGCTGGGCTATTGCTTAGCTAGTTGTGGGAGTCTAGCTAGATGTAGGAGAATCTGCCATAGAGATTTCCGAGTCAATCAGGCTTTACTAAGCGTAGCAATCCGCTACAAACTACGCGCATTAGCATTCGTATTACCTAAGTGCATAGCAATTTCATTGGTTCTCTAATTCTCTAATCTGGTTTGCAAGTGCACATTGAAATCGAGCGATAAATAATCCCGTCAAATTAATTTTAGTTTAACCCAATGTCTTCGCATCACGGCGAGTCCCAGGTGATTTCCATTATTCCTTCCCTTACATTGTTTGTTCTCATCTTCAATGGGTGGATTTGTGGTTTCATCTTCTCCGAATTATGTCTTAATAGTTTCAAACCTTATAGTGTTACACTGATTTCGTGTTTCGTTACTGGTGGCATTCTGATGATTGCTGCCGCTGCTTTACAACTTGTCACTAAGACAGCAACAAACGAACGATGGCTCTTGGTATCAAGGATTTGCTGCTGGACTGCCGCTGTTCTTTATATAACCGGAATTTTCTTTTTTTATAACAATTCAGGGCTTAGCTTCCAGAGTGAGAATATTGCATGTTTAACGGCAGGAATGCTTGCGTCGATTGCACTGATTCAATTGGTTGATTTAATCGTTGAGAAGTTTGGACGTTCAAAGAAAACTATAGTTGATAATAACCAGTTTTAAAATAAAATGTCGAATAATTTCCTTTTTGATTTTGTGAAATAAAAACAGTATTTTTTGTTATGCTTTTTGCCATATTGTTAATTGAATTCTTGTGAGAGGTTTGTTAAATAAGTTATTAAGTTTTCAAAATATATAAATGAGGCAATAATTAATGTGCACCTGCTCGATTCAAACGAAAATTGATATATTATTAGTATTATTTTTATTATCATTATATCAAATGGCAGGCGTTTTGATTGTTAT